AGTAGTAGTAGTAGTAGACGACGACTACTACTACTACTACTACGACGACGACGACGACTACCATGATTACTACTACCTACTACCACTATTACTGCTGCTGCTGCTGCTGCTACTACTACTACTACTAATACTACTCTTTTTGCTTTTGTGCAGTACTTGTGCTAGTCGTTGTCGCCGTCACATTGCGCGGGTAATGGTCGTAGTTATAGTTATCGCAGCAACTACATCATTGTGCGCATTGCTAGCGCAGGTACTAATTTCGTAGCTCTGTTACTGCTGGCAGTTGTACCAGATACAGAGACAGGCAAGTTGTAGCGCTGACACCGTCACGATGCAACTGCGAATCATGCAAAGAGGCAACCCTACACACGATGTTTGCAATGACATAGAGGACCCTGTCAAAGCAGCAGCCGTTCTTTCAGCACAAAGCCGACAACCGTTCTGAAGAGCCTTGCACCGCTGAGGCAGTCGCTCAGTGCAGCACGCTCAGCCATTTGCTCGATTAGTTGTTCCAACTTTTCTATGCAGAAACTCCAAGGTAAAGCTCTGCCAGAGTATCAGAGGCAATCTCAGCGACGTGAGTGCAAATCTTGGGAGCATTCGCGTGGGGCTGTGTGAACCCGCCACTGGTAGGCTCAAGCGGCTCGGGAGCTCCGACGAGGAGCCACGGACGCCGAATGCGTTGGACCCCCTCCAAGAGCCAAGAGAAGAATTGAACCGCAGCCCAGAGACGAAACATGAACCACTCAGGATCGTTCGCTCAGCAAGAGGCGGTGGAAGATTTTTGGTTGCATTGAGCGATGCTGTTACATGAATGGCTGAGCCGCATGCGTTGTGGCTGAACTTAGGTTTCTTCTCCAGCAGTGGCGTTCCGAGGCCGGTGGATGTTTGCAAGAAGCGCAAGCCGCTCCTCCATTCACGCACGACTGTCTTCTCAAGCCAGTGTTGCTGTTGTCCCAGACCAGTGAGCCTCGGTCATTTCGTTTCGTTTTGTGCCAGATTCAGAAGCTTGCCACCGAGCATGTCGAGTGTAACGAGGCACGTACTAGTATGCTCGGCGAGGCTCCTGAGTTGTGAACTCTAGCCGTAGCCCGAGCCAGGCGACATCATGATAATGATCTGCAATCGGGCGGCAGCATGCTTAGCGAACACTGTGATTCCGGGTACTTGCAGCACATCGTGCTGAGCGGGGTCTCGAACGCCGTGCAGAGGTGTGTTCCATCGGCGGCATGGGGTTAGTTGCTGAGGGTGCATGGACGTCTCGATTGAGACTTTTTAACCCTCGGGAGCACCATTTCACGCCAACTGGATCCACGAACATCTGCTACCTGTTTTGTCGGCGTGTCGCTTCCGAGATGTGTCTGATGGTATCGAAGCGGGGACCGAGACAAGGTCACCGGCAATCTAAGTGCATTGTCCAGATCAGTGGGAGGATTTGTCTGGCCGTGTTCCGAACTTAAGGTTGGTGTTCAATTACAGGCCAGGGCCGCACAATCGAACTAGATGCCGCACTTCCTCCCATGTCGCACCACAAGATTGCGGCTCGTTTTATTGTGATGTTGCGAGTGATGAACCAATTTCTAGATGAAGTTCAGATCCGAGACCACATAGCGCATTAAACCGTCTGCGCCACCTTGCATGCCTTACATCGCTCAAAGCATCCGTGTATGCTACATAATTGCTACATCGCCTCAGGCGGCCGTGGCGCATGTAATTCTGCAGCTTCTCTGTTTTCCGGGTCTATCCTCGTCGTGTGTGCACTTCAAGCTGTTCAAGACTCAGGCATCTAGGCCCGAATCAGGGCACTGGCTCTTCAGTTGAGAAGCTGCAGGCGAGGAGCGTAATCTGCCGGAGCATGCCTGGGGCAGGCATGCCAGATGCGGCATTAGCTGCAGCGCAGACTCTTGCAAACAGGTGCCTCAGCAAGAACTCGCTGGCCCAGCTTAGATTTCAACATGCTCGATCGTCATTCTATGGAAACATGCAGCGGGTTTGGCCCAGCAAAGTGGGACCCGGTTCATTGCCGGGGCAAGCCATGGTCGCTTCAGGCTTGCGGAAAGAGTCCCTGCCAGCAAGCCGATCCTCAAAACCAGACATGTGGCAGGTGCACGCAGCTTGCAGATCCTCACGGGCTTTCTCGCCATCTTGCTGCAAGTGCACCGGCAACGGCTAATGAAAACGCACACACGATGCACTGCATTGCGAAACATGCGTCTCGCAGAGAAAATCTGGAGGTGCGAGCTGACATTGCCTTTGTCTCCGTCCCCGGAACAAGCGTGCAGAAGCAGGCAGTACAACTCGACTCGGAGGTTTCTTTCGGGCACTGCTAGCATCCGTCTTGCAAGGAGGTTCGCTCTGTACGGCAAGTAGCGGACTTCCAAGCTTCGCAAGGCAAAGGTTAGTGTTCGCTGATGCTGTTTTGCCCCATTGTGCCAGTTCTACGATGCGCAGTCATTTGCCCCAATCTGTTCGGTCTGCAGAATAGCGGATGGATGCAGGCTGGTCTGGCAGTGCCTGCGCCACACTGGCCTCAGCTGGCATTGCCGTGACTCTGGCCCTATGGCTGTGGGCTCAGAATGTAGTCATGCAAGGACGCAAGGGTGCTCCTTGGAGCTGCAGCACCAAGAGACAATTTGAGAATCCAGAGCGAGCTGCAGCGGTAGTGCCGCCGAGTTGGTGTATCAAGCAGCTTTAGTCCGAGGGGCTGCGGGAATGTTGTCCTGGGCCGGTTTGATTGAAAGACGTACCCTGAGCAAAGTTTCGCTTGGGCATGTGTTTGCCGATTCAGAAGTATAGGCCAATCTGCAGTCGAACCGCATCAGTCTCGGTCATTTCTGTGAGTGCAGAGATACGCAGGGCGTGTATTGGCAATTGACCTGCGAAGGAGCTGTTATGCTCATCTAGCAACCTATGGAGTGTAACTTCTATGTCGCCATCACCCTTCGCAACTCCAAGAGAGCTGCATTATTCCGTCTCTTGACGGAAGATTGGAGCTGGACACAAAACTTTAACTCGATCCGGAAATCGCTCTGAGACTGTGCGCGCGAAAGGCGCGGCTGTGCGGAAGGGCGCGGAAGCAACAAATACGTAAGCCGCCGCGCCAGCCAATGTCCTGTACTCTTCCCGTTTCAGGTCTTCTTTCAGGAATCCCAAGGCTTTCCCAGGAAGCAAGCTAGCACACTAATTTAAAGGGGTTTATGCTCTTGCGGAAGGGTTTGCTTGCGAAACGGTCCGGGGAAGGGCACGCGGAAGGGAAGTCATGCAGCGACTCAGAAATGGCCAACGGGGCGCGGAAGGCTGCCGAAGCAGTTGCAGAAGGGCTGTCTTTGCGTCCTTGGGATAGAAACAGAATGAAAACACTAAGAGATCTTTCGCTGCGAGCTGTTGGGTCCCCTGCAAGGCTGTATAAAAACAGCTGGACTGGAGCTAGGAAGCACTCGCCCAGGCGCAGATCCAGTCGTGACTCCTCGCCAGTGGCAGCCAGCTACGCTCCCGCAAAGAATAGGTTTGAGCGCAAGTGGTGGTCCGAATCTCAGGGATTCTCTCTCTCACTCTCTCTCGCTCGCTCGCTCGCTCGGGCTCACTCACTCTCTCTCAGCGCGAATCCAAACTCTGCCCAAGGTACATTGAGGAAGACAGGGACCCGACAACCTTGCCTGTCTGGCAGCGAGACTACCGCTTTGGATTCCAGGCATGGCATGACGACAATAGTCAGTTGGCGCATGGTCACCCAAAGCACCCGGGAGAGCAGTGGGCGACCCGAAGTGTGAACAAGTTCCGCCCGACAGGTGCTGAGACGCAGCATGATCGAGGCACGGAAAAAAGGCCAGGTTCTGGGTGGAGTGCCAACCACAAATGCCCAATGTTAGCACATCGAGTGCTGCATCCAGCATTGGACATGTTTCGGAAGCTTGATGGTCATCATATTAGCCCAACTATCGGGTCCGAAACGCCAATGTTGGCTTCTGCTGCCAAGCCATTCAACTCCGGACGATGCAGGTGAGAAGATCTTTTGGGATGTGCGAGTTCTGCATGTTGATGAGAAAGGCCGGCCCAGCTACAGTTCCTCTCGCAATTCCTATTTCACAGCTCCCAGGCCTGTTCCTGTTGTCATCATCGGTCTTTTATGTTACTGTGACCACAGGTATTGTGATTCTCATTGTCATGGGCCTGTCAGCAGCACCGTCATCAGTGTCGACACTGGTATCTATCCTCAGCACAATCATCAAACTATCACCGTCTTGGTCATTGTCACCGTCATCGTCAGCGTTTGCTGAGCACGGTTACCAACCCAAATCCATGGGAGCGACGTTTCGAAGTACCACATTTATTCACGCGCGAGGCTCAGCCAAGTGCGCTCGCTGGCTTCAGATATTCTCACACAGAGCCCGCCAAGATCGCAGATACGGTGTCAGAATGTGAACACTGTAAAAGCACAACGGTTCTACACTTTTTAAAACTTTACTAGATCGCTATCTCCAACTGATCTGATTGCCAGGCTGCAAGGTTGAGATGCTCAACTCCGGTCTGATTGGTTTCATGCCCAGAGGCCGGAGCAAGGTTGCGCGACATGACAGAGAGTGAGAGGGTGCACTCGCCTGGCCCCGTAGTGAAGTGAAGCCAGGCGAGGAGGGCCAGGCTACACCTGACGACCGGCCCAACGTGGGAGACGAGTTGAAGGCAGGGGGGTCCTCAGGGTGCTCGTCCTGCTCGCGCTGGCCTCACAAGGTAGAGTGTCTGGCGGCCCCTATGCAGCGTGTCAACAAAGAGTCCGGGCCTTGCGTGTTTTTGTCGAAGGAGTCTGCCAGAACTCCAAGAGTCTCTCGAAATCTCTCGAAGACTCCTGGCTCCCAGAGCTTTCGTGCGCTGAGGCAGAAGTACAGCCCGTGGCCGAACCTCTATCGGCGCTCCAGAAAGGCAGCAGTGTTGACAAGACCGCCCAAAAGCATGAGTGTGAATCTGTGGGAGTATATAGTATATAGCCTTATGCCGGCTATCGCTGCAGGCACAGCCCATCTTCTCCCACTACATGTGGTGTCCTGCCTGAATTCAGCCCTGGAGTTTGGTTTTGTGTCTTTGCCTGTCCTTGCGCTTTCCATGTTCCTACTTTATTATCTCCCCTCGCCTGACCCCTGACTCACTCCCGTTGGCCCTGTAGAACTCGAGGGTTCGGCCTGCGGCCCGCCCCTTCCCACTTACATCTCCACCCGTTGTGGTCCTGCCCATGCTCCCCGCCGTCCCGATTTTCTGTGGTTGTGATGCGTGCTTTGCGAGTCTGCAGTCTTTGGGGAAAGCCTCCTAGACTAGACCTGTCGGCTCAGGTTGGAGCAGCAGAGGTCCATAGCCAAAGCTCAGGAACTGGAGGCTCGCCCACACCCCAAAAGAGAAGACAGGAGCCACTCTGGACGCAGGCTGGAATGATCATCGATGCCGCCTGAGCCCTCAGTTTCGAAAGTCCTAAGTCAGGGCTATTACCAACAATTGTCCATGCACCCAGGTTGTCTTCAAGCACTGCCCCAAAGGGCTCGTGGAGACCCTAGCATCTCCAGCTTTCTTGCAAGAAGCATGCGGTGGCAGTGCAAACAGTGCTCGCCGTCAGGTCATGACACTTGATGGTCCGGACAAGCCGAAGGGCATGCTGGACATGCGGGACATCTCTCGCAAGGCCGGGTTGTCATTAGCGTGTGGTGGCCAACATTAGAGCCATTGAAATTTCGCTGCACCCGCCAGAAATCTGCGCACAAGTGGGTTGACAAGATGTTCCCAACTGGCACGAAGATGAAATGCTATGTGGCAGCCGCCCAAGCCCAGAAGGGTCACTACTGCGCATCACCCTGACTCGCGGCATCCTTGCCTGTGCCCGTAGCAATTTGCTAAGGTTGTGTCGGTTCCTTGTATGCCATGACAGCATGTATGCAGACTGAGTCCAAGTCGGTTGCTTAAGGTTCATGCCGACAAGGAGAACGGCCGCATCACTTTGTCCACGAAGGAGTTCGAAGACGACTATCACGTGTCTTGCCTTCAAGACTCCAAGATACAATGCAGTGTGGAGAAGGTTTCATCCCAGAACTCAACATTGGAAAGGACCGTGCATCTGACAGGTCGGCTGGATGTTGAGCTTTCCGGAGCGATGCTTCGAAAACGCTGGAGAGGCATACTCAGCCGCAGACCGCTATGTTCGGGGCTGGGGAGTTTAGGGTGTAGGGACTCAACAACCCAGCTGCAGGCCGTCAAGAAGTACCACCGCAAGCCTGTCGCCTAGAGTCCTGTGCTTCCATGCCTGTCCTGATTAAGCACGCAACGAGACGTCTGATTCTGCCCTGTTGACCATTGCAGGAGGAACGCGTACATCGCCTGGCTGCAGCGCTGAAGTAGTTCCGTGTCACTGGAAGCGGCCTACGCCTACGCAAGACAAGAGTCAGAAGCTCTTCGATGATACGCTGGCAAGCTGAATGTCGTCAAGCTGTTAAGACTTGTTGGGTTCAGCTCGTCATGTACGTCCACGGGCTAACGGTTTTCCCACTAGTCGTCCGCCGCTGGAACACGTTCTGCGAAGAGTCGTCTGAAAAGGAGAAATGGCTTCACAGAATCTTGAGCGGATCGCATAGGCATTGTGTTTCCTTCGCAGCAGGGCCTGTAGTTGCCTCACAGATTCTGATGTGAGTCCTTGCACACGCCGCAACCTGCGGCTAGCACCGTTTGCATCCGCAGCGCACATGCATGGACTGCCCCATGCCGAAGACAGTGCTGCCCGCTCATTGGGCGTACGCTGCCAACGCGATTCCTAGACCCCCCTGTCGTACTTGTACCAGATTGCTATCGTACTTGTACCCGAATATTGTCAGCTGACTGCGCATAGCTCTCGTTCGGTCGGTCTGGATCTTTGCTTTGTGATCAACTAAGCCCGACTCTATTTTCTCCGAAGCCCATCAAGTAGCATGGCATCACTGCAGTTCATGCCAAGAAGCTGCGGCCGTTACGGCTGCTGATGGTGGAGCAAGGCCCATGCGGTGTTGAGGGCGAGATGATCCGCACCCGGGCACAGCTCAGATCGGATGCCACACGAGGCGCACGGCGTCTGCCCGCGAAGCTTCAGTTCAGCAGGGACTGCCGAGTGCATGTGAATCACGCACCCTGTGGATGTAATGTGTGTGCCTGCGTCTCCGAGAAGCACAGTAACTTCAGGATGCTGGTGGAGGAGAAGCGAAGGTTTCGTCGGGGTGGCTGGCAAGAGACTCAAATTGGTGGAGTTTGTCGTTCCTTGCCCGGGTTTTCTGCTACTCTGAGGCTGGCATCAGCAAGACCTTGTACCGAAAGCGCCTCAAGCAGGCCTCCTCTGTTCAGTGCAACTCGGTCAGCCCAAAGCTTGTCATGTAGTTCCTGTACTCACCGTGCTCCCAACCTGAAAGCCAGCTTCCTTCGGAAAGCGTGTTCATGCAGCCGCGCGGCTCCTAGCAAGCCTGTCGGCCGGCAATCTTCCCTGAATGTGATACTACAGAAGAGAAAGAGGCCAGGCTGCTTTTTCCTTGAATCAGGTGGAGGGCTTGGGATAGCGTGGGTGCAGTGACTTTGCTTGCAGGAATGATCCACTACAATCCCAACAAATGGTCTTCTATGTTCGGGGTGCGTGGCAGCGTGCTGCCAGTGTCTATCAGGAGAACTCCCGTAGCATTTTTAAATACCCACCAGATCTTTTGTGACATGACGAGTCATGACGACCTTGCTTGAAGTGGTCTGGAGGATATCGCTTCCATGGGCACTTGTCGCATTGATGATCAAGTACCTGGAGATTTGGGGCGTGATCGACTTGAAGGTCCTAGACTTTCTCAACACCGGAGAGATTTATGGTGGTTTCACCTTCGTCCTGGGCTGCTTGCTTGATTGAGTGGTACGTGCATTCACAGGATGGGCCCAGTAGGATCGCCTTGGCCCAGGGTTCACCTTGGTCTTCCGGACATCCCAGTCCTACACTCGGTACTGGGCGGCTGCAACGGCAGTGCATGAGAGCCTTGGTGCTTAGGGGGTGCATGGGCCATCATGGGCCCATGGCAGTCCAAGTGCACTGCAGGGTATGAACTTCTCATGTATCATCACCGGGTTTGGTCAGAAGAACATATGGAAACGAGGATGGGTTCCGAGTGGTCGGATTCCTGCGCTAGCCTGCTGGCATTTTCCAGCTGCTCGAAAGCTCGTCCCGAGGATGCGGCAGTGTGCACTTCTGTTCAGTAGCCTAGAAGAGCCGCAGAATGCCCGTGGGCTTCTACCAGGAGATTCAGCGCTACATGCACCTGACGGTACGGCTCTTCAGCGTCCTGCATGCGTCCTTCGCAAGCAAAGCCTTAAAGCATGGATTTCTGGTGCTGGGCCGAGAGGCGGTCCGTAGTTCTCCGCTCAGGATGGCCATGGAGGAGATTGCAGAGCTCAAGCACGAGAACTTTCGTGTGATTGACTGTCAAGGGCTAGACAGGGCCGCTCTGCGAAACTTCGTCCGGCTCAATGCCCATGTCAACAGTCGCATACCCCTGGGCTCAGGACAGTTTGGAAAGCATTGCGCTCAGTCGTGAGGGAGCGTTGCAAAAGAAGCATCATGCGATCATCTTTTATGGATTACATTCTGCAGCTTCCAGTCCCCCACGTCGTGCGCATCTGCTTGGCCTGAGGCATTCACGGAAATGACACATCCGCCAATGCCAACCGAATAGGTCCGGCACTCGGAGGAACAACACCCTTGTGAACCGCTGGGCTTTGCTATCATGTGGAACAGGCCATGCCATTAAGACCACGACTGTGCTCTGCTGGCTGAAGAAGCACATCGTTCAAGCACAGGCTTCAGGCCATCCTCTTCGCTCCGCGAAGTTCAATGTTTGACTCCTCGCATCGGCAGTGGTGGCAGGCATCATCGCGGTACCTCCACCCATCCTTACCCGCGTCTTCCACGAGCTCAGCATGGGCCGCCTGGCCGAAACCGCCGACGCGGCTTGTGCAGGTTCCCACTTAGTCCAGCTAGCTCAGGCTTGGTGGAATACCACAAAGCACAACAAGTGGTCATTTGGCCCTTTCCCTTTCCTTACGTGCCTGGCTTACGTTTCGGGGGTGTCGGGGCATTCGTCACAGGTTCCGGTGTGCTCGGGCTGGTTTGCAGCCCTTGAGAGGCGCAGCTGAACACATTCCTGATTTGGATCTTCCTCTTTGTTTCTCCTCTGGTTATTTGCACGTGGCCACTGTGATGCCTTTGGAGAAACAGCTGCTTGTAGCTTTGCAGCATGCGTCGTAGAGCTGGTCGTCAGCATCGTTGAGTGCTCGATCTCAGGGACACTAGTCCCTGGATTATCGCCGGCTTCACTTTGTTGACGGGATGCTCAATGGTGGGCCTGGATTGCATTGCTGCTGAGATTGAGGCTCCGTTTGGAGCCTTGGCTGCACCATGCTGTAACCTAACCACAGCATAAAGCAGATCGGGTTCAACTCTGAGCATGGCCTCCTGAAGCGGTTGGAATTGGTTGGCACAGAAGTGTACACAGCCCAGCCCAGAGTATGCGCAGGACTGGGCTTGTGCTGCTTGTGGGCCCGAATCCTGTGACTCAGGTCCTGATCAGAACGACCTCCCGTGTAATGTAGCTGTTCTGCAAAGGGCGGCATGCATGTCACGTGTCTCTGTGTAGCGTTTTATTTAGTGATTGACAAGTAGAGGGCGTGTGCATGACGGACGAGAAGCAACCTCCAGGAAATGATGGATGACTACAACGCATTGCTGCTGGCTCCTTTATCGCAAGGGATTACCTGAAGCCATCAAAACCTGCCCATTCCGCACACTGTCTGCTGAAGTCGAAAAAACGGCTTCGCAATCTCGGCTACTTTTTCTTGGCACGGCACAACTGTGTCGACCAGGTGTGGCATGTGCATGTGCTAGAGTCTCGTAGAACACTGTCGTCACGGCACCCGACCATCACCTTCGCGAGCCTTGAAGTCCTTGCTCTCAAAGATGGCCTAGGCTTGACATGGTAGCAGTGAACACGTAGTCAAGCCAACAATCTCGCGGCCTTACCTGGGCGTTGTGGATACGGTTCGCATATCTAGATTCCGACACAGGTCGCGTCAGCTTCGCAACCTCGTGCTTCTGGGGGTTTGTCAAGTAGCACCGTCCTGAAGGAGCTGCTTAGCTAAGGCGCTGCTGCGCCCCCTGTCCTGGCGGGTGCCGCACATGACCGAGGATGCGCTGATGGACTATCGCCACTCGGTGAAGATCGGTTCCCCAAGACATCGGCAGTAACTGCTCTTTCGGGGTCCCTTCGATGTGTCCGAGTCGACTAGAATCGACTAGAGGCTCACTGACGCATCCGCAGAACGACAGCGGCTCTGCGGCAGCTCGGAGGGCTGCAACGCAGTCAGAGCAATGTAAGACCTCTCAGATCAGCAAAGGTCGCACGTGCTGTGTAGATGACTGCTTCAGGGAGAAGTCAGGCTGGACATCACCATAGGCGCGAGACCCTACTGTAAACTGCTTTAAAGCTGACAGGGCGACCCCCTCTTGTGCCGAGCACAAATGAGCTCGACTTGGTGGCGCAAGTGAAGACGGAGGCTAGCAGACGATGTGTGCACATGGCCCTTTATACACTGCTCTGCTCTCAGTGTTGGTGGAGTCTCTGCGCTTCACTACATGGAGACCTTAAGAGGCTCACCACCTTTGAGGGAAAACTCACCAAATCACATCGACAACAGCAAAGAGGCCAGCGTCACGAGGAACAAGCAACACGAACTCCAACGTGAAGCCATGTGGCATTAAAGGTCGCACAGAGTTTGCAGGATGCAAAGCCACCCACGGCGCTTCATCCTGCCGAACCTCCAAAGGACGACTGCCATGTTCCCACGGCAGCACGTCGCAAAGAGTGACCAATCATCAGGAGCCGGCACCTCCGAAACTTCCGTCGGATGCAGTCGAGGCAAGTCGAGCTTGTTCGACGGGCAGACGGGTGCATCAGATCTGCACCACAGCGCGAATCTGCGTTGGTCTGTCCTGCCTGCAGGAGCTGCGGGAACTGCGGAGGCAACAGCAGGCGCTGCTTCCAAGCTAATCTTCAGGCTGATAGCCGCAAGAATTGACATGCAAGGAGTTCTTCGCGCAGCAGTCGCAACAGCAGCGGGAGTATCAGGAACGACACTGCCCCTTGGTGAGGAGGCTGTGCTGGGAGCTTGGGTGCCGTTGGCAGCTCCGAGGCCAGCTCTTGCAACACCTCATTCAAGTCAGCAGCTGCTGGGTGGCAGTTTGCTGATGTCTGCCGTCCGGGAGCATGTGAATGAGCAGGAAAGCTGCGCTCTGATCCTTCTTTCCTTCTTTGCCCTAAGGCCAGCGCAGCAACGGATCCCTGCCCGAATTACATCTGCCTTGGTCGTTTTGCAAGCCTCATGATGATGATGATGATGAGGATGATGATGATGAGGATGATGATGATGATGATGATGATGATGATGAGGATGATGATTTTTGATCATCATCATCATCATCATCAGCCCCATCCATCATGGTCAGGGGATCCTTACGCCAAGGTGGTTCTGGCCAATGGTGTGCTGCACCGGCAAGGTCCGTTCCAAAGTGAAGGATGGTTGCAGCATGCCGAGGATCCGTGAGAATCCGTTTGTAAAGGAAAGGCTTCTGCCCAGCAGCAAAGCATGCTGGCCAGCAGGCACCGGCTTTCGGCCGATAACTTCGCAATGTTCGCATCAGAACATCCATCAACTGCCAAAGAAACGCAGTTTTTGCCTCTGCCTCCCGTCTGAAAATACGATGTGAGGAGTCGTGTTAACGTTTCTTCGTAGATGCTCTGTGGCTGGCCATGCCGGACGCATCGGATGCCGGAACGACTCTGGCCGTCACAAAGCAAACACAAGCTCCAGCTGGCTTCAGTGACATGCAAAATGGCATGGGATCTGTGCGCCTGCCTTGTGCTTAGAAAATCCTGCGGCGAGACCCGCCGACGAGGTTACTAGGGAAGAAAAATGAGCTCAGCTGAGATGAACTTGCTGCCTAGCTGGATTCGAGTGCCAGGCCGCCATGCATCGAATCATGCAAGGAAATTCAACAGGCTGCGGCCAACAAGGGTCGAGAGCTTGAAGCCGCAGGCTCTTCTCTTGGCCGCTATCGACATCCAGCTTCAGCGGGTTCGCTCGCTTCCGGTGGAGAAGTCGGCTGCCTGGTGCAGTTTAGTGGGTGCCCACAGGCTCTGCAGTAGCCTGTAGGCGACCGCCGCAGCGAGAGGCTCTGCGCCGTCGGCGTCAGGGCCTCACCGACCAGCACCAGCAGGAAGAGCTCGCTTCGCGGACATTCGCGGACGTCTGGCCCAGGCGCTTCGATCCTGCAGGGAGGAATCCAGGCCTGGCCTGGCCGACTGGCCGGAGTTTCCTGTGTCGTCCCACGGTATCCCACGGTCCCACGACGTCCCGTGCAGGCAGAAGCGGTGTCAAGCCACTGGGAAGGGATTCGGAAGGCAGGAGCCGAACCGGCCGAAGGTGAGCTGCGACTTCGATGGGCCAGGAACTGCTCGAGCGTCACGTCATCGTGATGCCGGGGCCTGGCTCCGAAAGGTTTGCTTGTCCATTTTGAGCATCGGCTTAGGAAGGGCGGCTGGCTGCAGGGCAACACCAGAAGTTTCTTCTTGCTCACAGGTGGCCGATGTGTGGGGGTGGATACGAATTTCCAGACATCGCTGCGATAGATCGCAGGTGCCGACCTGATGGTGTTCGAGAGGCTCGTGGTCAGCAGGTGAGTTGAGGCCTCTCCCGACCCGGGTCAGGTTGGACAGCCAGCCGCACAAGGTGCAGCTGAGCCTTCTGGGTTCTACAGCCCGGCAGCACCCTAAGTGCAAAGTGCGGTGCAGCCGCACTTTCGCCGGAGACGGATGGGTGAGTGAGGTTGGAAGAGTCGCACATGCATACAGCTGAGAGCCCAGTGTCCAGTCTAGCCCTGGTCTGGGGCGCCTTTGCACTCTTTGCCAGGCCAATCCTCCCTTTGAGACTGGATTTCCTGCTAGAGCTGGTGCCCCGGTGCATATCCCGCGACTGTAGACTGTAGACTGTGGATGCGTTTTTGCAGGTCGGCGTGACTTTGGCAACTGGGGGGTCGAAGCCTTTGCAGGGACGATCTTGGTTTGCAAGTTTCAACACGCGCATGAAGGCGACTCTGGCTCTATGCACCGCGGTTCGTAGCAGCCTCAGTCATGCAAGAGTCTTTGTTTCTGCGGCGGGCTACGATTTTCCGCCTCCCTATGTTCTTGTGACACGTGTTCGGTATTCCCCCAGTGATGCTGGAAGCCAAACTGCCTTCCGGGCAAGGAAGCTGAACTACCGTGCAGGCAAAAGCTGTCGCTGTTAAAATCCAAACGTAAACTTCGACGAGCCACACCCTACCATTCTCCGGTTGCGCATCAACCTCCGACACTTCACAGCTTCTCGTTCACTGCCACTGCCGCATTCCGAGAAGCCGGAAATAGAGCCACAAGCCTTGGACCAGTACCCTTTCCATCGATCTCGCGTACCGATTGGCGCTTCATCTTGAACCCTGGGCACCGAAGCCCAACCACAGCTAAAAAGCTGTTCCCAAAACCTGGGTCCAGTAGGCGAAGTCCCGGGCACGTAGAGTATGCAAGCTTGCACCGCCTTCTTGCTCTAGTCGCTCGTCACGTGAATCTTCAGAAAGGTTGGCTCCAGCAGAGATCGGAGCCCACCTTCCTTTGATGATAGAGATCTAAGCCTGGCTGAGCTCACGTGCCAACAAGGATCTGGCAAAGCATTGGTACCGCACCATCCGTTTGGTCACGGTCTTGGCTTGTTCCGGGTCAGTCAGGCTTGATGTAGAAAATGTCCCAGTCCGAGGTGAACCAGATTCACGAATCAAAGAGAGGCAAGCTCGCGTATACCTCAAGGTCTTTGTATCGAGCACACCAAGTGGCCAAGTGGTCGACTTCGGTCAGAGCATTCTCCAGTTGAACAAAGGCTTTGGAGATTCCACTTGAGACCATTGCCAACTATATGTCCCTACCTGTGTGATATGTGCTGATGGCATGGTGTGCTTGAGCCGTGCAGCATCAATCTGAGGCAGACGCACTCGAGACGTTGCGGCCTTTACATCTGACCGATGCTGTTCTTCTTGCACCAGCTTGCAATGTTTGTCTCCTTTGAAAGGCCGTGCCTGGGATGTCCTGGTGTCGTACAACAAGATATGGTGGGAGAGGTGCTGACTTGAGCAAACCATTGCCGATGCATGTCCTCCCCTTCGCGCGGCCCTGCCATGCTTGCGTGTAAAATCAGGCATGCCTTGCTTGCGCAGTGCTCTCAAGCCTTTGCGAGCATGACTGTGGACGACTTACTGCGGCGTGCGTGGCTCCGCCTGGACAGTTCAGAAAGGGTCAGCGAAAGCGAAGTGGAACGCCGTGTGGCGCAGTCTAGCTTTTTCGAGGTCCTCCGTGGGTGGCATAAGATGCTCGAGGTGTGGCTTTTTGTGTTTGCCTCACTTCCGTATCCGGGCTGTGCTGGAGGATTCTTGCTTTGTGGGAGCCGGAGTAGTGCAAGCCTGGGGCTCTTGGGTGCAGTGCAGGTCTACGGAGCCAGAAGCAAAGCTGCAGCTGAGGACTACTGGTGTGAATGCTAGAGCCGGTAGTGCCTGCTTCTCATTCTGACCTGGCTGTCAGTTCTTAGGAGGATTCTGGGCCTGGGGTCGTGCCGCAAGCGCAGGCCGTGATGACATGCTCCGACGAGTGGTGTGCTCTTTTATCTTCGCTGGATTCCAGCAGGCTGTGGCACTGACCACTGACCAGCACGGAGCCCAGCTGAGGGTGCCGACAGAGGCTCAGAGCAACCTTCGATCCGAATTAGGACCGCAAGCATTTCTCCGCAGCGGCCTTTCAATTCGTAGCAAAGGTATGATGCCGAGCTTCTGGCCCTGCGAGAGAAGGCTCCTGCAGAGAGCTTCCCCACGTCAGGGCCAGACTGGATTTCTCAACTGTCGAGTGGTGTAGATCTGGTCTGGAGCGACGCCAGTGTCAGGCAATATCCTGGCTGCAGAGACGAGTTCGTGACCTCATGCGATCAGATGCTGGGCTGCTGCCTTTCCTTCAGAGCTGCAGAGTCAAAGTTCCGGATTCCATTCGCAGCATCTTGGTGCGGTGAGGCTGAGCGCAGCTGCAAAGTCAGCAGGCGCGACGGATCAGTCAACAGCCAGTGCTGCCTGTGCGGGTCATCTGAGAGCGAGAGGGATGGAGAGAGAGAGAGAGAGAGAGCGACCCCTGCGCCCAGCAGAAAGAAAGAAAAGAGCGAGACTGGGGTGGAGGTCTTTGACAACCACTATACGCCCTAAAGACAGCAAGCGATGGAGAGGAAGAAGAAGAGAGATGGAGAGATACTTTGATTCCATTTTTGAACCATTTCCCATAGAGGGTTTTTTTTATGCAGAAGACAGCTTGGCCACTTTTTCAGAAGGGGAATCGAACCTCCTGTCCTTTCGAGGCTTTAGTCCCTGAGGGTTGGACTGAACGCTCCTGGTTACCTTTTGCAATCCTTTTGCTGCTCTATGTGAGATCGTCGCAGTCCAACACATCCACACTGAAACTCCACTACATGGGGGAAAGAAGGGGGAAAGAACCCTGGCTGGGCAGACTTGGGGCTTTTTGTTGGCTTTTGTCTGCCTGCAGTCTTTTCCTAGCTAAATGGGACCCCAGCCTTGTGGAGAGGCAGGTGCCACTCTACGCCCCACAACAGTCCGGGGCGCTAATGTGCGCGGTGGGAGGGGGAGAGAGAGAGAGAGAGTGGTTGCGGGGGGTGGTGAAAACCCTGTGGACTGCAGGTGCGCGTGCGCGCGCGGAGGGGGGGGCGTCCGCCTTCCTCTCCTGTCCTCCTGGTAGAGAGAGAGAGAGAGAGAGAGTGGTTGCTGTTCACTCCCCTTGCCTGATACAGAATCGGGTGGGCATGGTGCCCGGGGGCATTGACCTGGAGAGAGAGAGAGAGAGAGAGCACTTAGCGAAGTCTTACAGCCGACAGAAGAACCAGGGCGCGCTCGTGCGCCGGGGCGGTGCTTTGCGCTCTCCTTTGGCTGTGCAGAAGAAGAGAGAGAGAGAGAGAGAGAGAGAGCGCGCGCGGGTGAGGGGCTCTGTCCCCTCTCCCTTATCCCTTGAGAAAGAAAGAGAGAGAGAGCGAGCGGAGGCACTCCCCTCCCTTCACTTCGGCCGAACGGTCAGTCTGCTGCACAGCTGAGCCCATCCGGACAATATGTTGGATGGGGTAGCGCGACAGCGTGGGCTGCAGGGACTGCCCGCAGCCCTTACCCCAGCAAAGCAAAGAGAGAGGTGGGAGCAGCAAGCAAGCAAGCAAGAGGTGGGAAACCCTCGATGCCTGATGTAATCATTTAGTTTTGTTTCGTTTTCTCATATATCTCTGCATACGAGGGGGACGGAATCTTGCCAAGTGTCCAACACCACCACCACTGGGAAGACGTACTTCGCTGCACTGATCACATTGCATTCACTTGCAAGTGTCGTCATCCCGGGGGCGCTTTCACGCCCTCAGAACCCCGTAGCACATGAGTGGCCCTACGGGCTGGGGGGTTTTCGCACGCCCCTCAAGCCCTATGGAAGAAGAAGGGGGTCGATGCCAGGAGTGTGCTATGCGTTTAGTGTAAAGAGAGGGGCTTTCAACTGGAAGATCGGGGCTTGCCTGGTAGTCAGTGCGAAGAGCCATAAGACCCCAAAGCCAGCCCAAGCAGTCCGCTTAAACGCACAGAGGGTAGGCGGGCCGAAGGCCTGAGGGTCGCCAGACGACCCTTATGCCCGACAAAGAAAGACAGAGAGATAGTGAAGTGAAGTGAAGCTTCCAGCGAGCCGTTCCAGGCTGGACATGATCATGAATTGGGGGTTTCTGGGTTACTGGATCGTGCACTGGAATCGGGGTTGCCGATGTCTCACCCGACCCCGAACACGCGCGAAAGGGGTTAGTGTTGTGCGCAGGGAGGGTGGGCCTCGAGCGCGAGCAAAGCGAGAAGGAGGAAGAAAGAGAGAGGGAGCTGGCCTTCAAGTCTGCGAGGTCGACGGCCGGGGCCGCCTCTTGGTCACGTTCGACTGCAACGGTGCATTCCTCTCGGTGCCTTGGGCCCGCTTGAAAGCCCCGGAATAAGCTAGATCCGGACGTAAGAACTTGTGGGGCAGGTTGGCGGTCTGCTCGCAGTAGGGCAATAGTGATGCAGCAAGCGGCGCTGTGGTGCGAGCACGCTTGTCAAGAATTGCAGAAAATGCTGTGGTCCACGATTCCGCCCCATCTCAAGTTGAGCTCTAGCTCCAAGCAGCATCCAGTCAAAGAGCTGGAGTGCTGGAGCTGGTAGTTTGCCGTATTGCAAACATGCAGCAACAGAGTAGCACGTCAGCACACGTGGGATGTTGTTTCAGTGTGGGTAGAGTCAGTAGCAGTGAGTTGTGGCAGCCATGCTCGCAGACCAATACCGTGATTTCATGGAAGCAACAACTGGAGTGACTCGGCTGCTTGTGAATCGCGTTCAGGAGCTGTGTGCAAACATCACAAAGGCATGTACTTGTACTGCTTAACAGGCAGGCTCCATTGTAGAGGGGGGGAGGGGTAGCGGACGGGCGGTTGGGGTGTCATTCTACTCCCGCCATATATCCTTGCCTACTATTGCGGCCGGTTCCGCATTCTACGAGCAGGGTTTGTGTACACATTATGTTTTTAGCACATATACGTACATATGTTACGAATAAAGTAAATGTTTGCAGAGTTATGTAAAGCCAGTAAGTGCGCTGTTGAGAAATGTTGGGAACTCTCTGCTGACTGTGACTATCGTATGTTTATGTTTCCCACACCAACAAACTATCCACCTTCTACCGTCCATTTGTCTGTTCAGCTGTTGTCTGCCCGCCTGCCCACGCATACCACATACATGCATGCAAACGTACATGTAGCGGAGACATTCGGGGAATGCAGGCGGTGGTGCCCTCGATGAACCTTCGGGCACCCCGCAAGAGTGCCGAGCTGCGCCGTTCGACGGCGGCCTCGGCGGCCAAAGTGCAGCAGATGGAGGTCCCAAACAATGCGTCCACGCCTCAGGTGTCTGAGGCTCGTGCGACAGTCCGTGCGCTTGCCGCTCGCAAAGCCTTAAGGTCGCGACGGCGTGCAATGCTCGAGGCAGTGGCTGGGATGAACGAGAGCGAGACCGGCGGAGGGCCGGCGGGCGCGGGAGGGGAAGCCGCAGCGGCGCTTCAAATGTGCAGTGCAGCTGCGATCGCCATGCCGCAGCTCCATGCTTCCAGCTCAGTCACGACCGGCTCAGTCACGGGTCCCAGATTCCCTCGTCTCCTCTGACATCCTGTCTTCAGAGTCTCTTCGACTCTTCGGCTCGGGCCCAGGTTCCCAAGCCAGGCTGGGGCCTCCACGGAGGCCCTTTGCTTCAAGACGCGGTGCGCTTGAGCGGTGGCGAAAACCTCATCCTGCAGCGCGTGCTCGCTGCTTCGAGCTCCATGTCCTGCAAGAGAGACATCCCGGTCAGATTTTCCACGGCATTTTTCCTGGTCCCAGCGCATGCACAGCAGTCCGCATCGATTCCGAGATGAAGCTTAGGTGCACCAACCTCTGAAAGTGCGCATGCGTTCAGCTTGAGGAGATCTTTGTTCCAAATCGCCTGGTCGCCAAAGTTCGGAATCTCGCGTGCGCTGCCAACTCTGAGTCTGTATCTGCATCTAATCCGATGCGACCCTGCGAGGAGCGCAGTCACCACAGGTCGATCGTTCTTGGATGCAACGCTGCCTCCGATGCCATGCCAGGGCCTCAAGCTACGCCTCGCATCCTGCTGGCTTTCCCTGCGCTTCCGAGGCTGGTGAAGCCTCTCTGAGCTGACGTAGCCTATCCGGCTTTTCTTGAGGATGTAACTTGCAAGACGTACCCCAGTCTGCAGCTTCAGCTGCCCCCAACTATGTGTAAACTAGCCTCGGGTCTCACACATGGAAAGCAAATCCAGTCAGTCTTCTGTGAGTCCTCGATACAGGAGGCCTTGCCGATCTTGTGCCAGAGAGGACTTCAGAGTTTCAATTACCGAGAGTGACCTCGATCCGCCTTTTCAGGCGCATGTTTCAGCGTCCTGTTCAAAAAGTCGATGCAAGGGATGCCCGGCAGGTTCAGGGGTCTGACAAATGAAAGCGCTAGTGCCTTGACACCCTCCTGAGAATCCAGAGCAGGTGCCTCGTTTGTCACCGGCATCAAGCAGGCGGTGTGGGGACGTGTTTTGTCCGAGGTGCTCGAGTGATGCTAGGTGCTTTAAGTGCAGATGCAGCGTGGCCCAACAATTGGTCTTGCGGAGCCAACTCCGAACGAAGCAGAAGCTGATCGGATTCCTGTGTTCCCGCCCAATACCTCACTTACGCAACTCCGAACTCCGAACCGAATCGCAATGCATTCCGTCATTGAGTCCGGCAATGCACGCGAGGGCGGTGACGGGACCAGCTCGCAGCGTGAAGGAAGAGGCATGCACTACATTGCCTATCTTGGCATGACTACCTTGCAAACTCAGGCAGGTTCCCAGCCAGCATGTGCCAGCGTTAGGTCCTCGCCCCTTCTCTGCGAGCTGCTCAACACAAAACTTGGCGACATGGACTAAGTGTGGGTATCAAGAGTGAGCGGGTTGAGCAGATTCGCAGACTCAACCTGTAGTTGCCAAGGCCCTGCAATGGACTTCTGTGGATCTCCAAGTGCTGGAGCAAGCTGCATATTTGCCAGTGGCTATCTTGGATTGGGGGCTCTGGGGGTGTTGCTCGAGCTAGACTTCAGTATGAGTTGAGTCGAGTCTCAGGCGGGGTGCTTCGGCGTGGGACTTGTTGAGCCTTGCCATCAGCAGCATGCGAGATGTTTTGCCAAGTTGCCAAGGACGCTCCTGCTTTTGTGCACATCGACAGCATCCGCTCCGTTATCATGCACTCAGATACTCGTCTGGCATCTGCAAAACTGCGTAGCCTTCTGTGAAGCAAAAGCTCAAACGGCTCGATTCTCCAAGTGCTCTGAGGAGCGTGTTGATGAGTTCAAAGAGCGCGCTTCTGAGGATGTAATGGTGTGAATGTGGGCTCCAAGATTGCATTTGTCGCTTCAGTTGTTGAAGGCACGCGGGCCCCTGGCTGACCGTCTATGGGTGCTGAACTCAGACGGGTCACCGATGCGAAGTCACGCTGTTACACGCATGAAGAAGTGACCTACGAGGCCTCTGTTGAACATCCACCGCGGTGTCTCCGAAATGACGGTTCGTGAACTGGCTTCGAGTCTGCGATCTCCTGGGAGTGACTCCCAAAGCCTTCGACTGACGGTTGCTGTTCGAGCTGGATGGATTCCCAAAGCAAGTAAAGGCAGCGGCACCTGCACACGTGCAGTCTTGAGCCTTCTCGGGCAGCGCGTGGTCAGTGCCATCCAGACGGGGGAGGACGTGGACTACACGTGCGCACTGGATCGTCACATTGCACTGCCAGATGACACTGAAGAGGCCTCCCAGTTCCTCGATCTCCTGCAGGAAGCTGTTTGCAGCGTGGATGTCATCGAGGAGGCCCATCCAGATATGCTTTTCAGCCCGGGCCGGGCCAATACAAGAGTACTTTGTGGCAATCGTGTAGCTCTCTGGCGGCTGCTTTCGACGCAGAGCGAGATGCCGACGGAGAAGTCTCCTAGATCCGCAGGACATCGACTGCTAGGCTTCAATAGCCTAACAACTTCGTGGCGAATTCCTTTGTCAAGCCGCCAAGAAGATCAAATTGGGAAGAAGCCGTTTGTGGACATCGATGTGCGCTCTGAACACGTGCGATCACAAAGCATTGCATCAAAGCCGAGAGTCGTGTCACCCGAGCAGTGTGCCACTTTGCTGTTCTTTGGTCTGTGTGCTTGTGTGGGTGTACTTATTTCGGGTAATGGGATGAAGGGTCCCTATTAGGGGTCCCTCCTAAAGGCCTTAGAACTGTACTGTAGCATACTCCTGTTGAAGTCCCAGGCCGCTGTGGCGTCGTCGCCTCCCTTCGGCTGCCTTGGTGTTGCAGCGCCGGCTGGCGACATGGAGCAACCTGAGAAGCTGAAACCGCACTTCTTGCAAATACGGCTGGGTGAGCTAAAAGCGGGGATCATGGCTAAGCCGGAGGACGTCCGAATAGAGCTTCGTTGCGCTGGTCTCAAGGTCTTTTCCTTGCCGGCTGGCGAGCCGTGCTTGCTCGAAGCAAAAGGCTTTATGTCCTTCAACGGGGAGAAACTGCTGCTCCCACTACCGCCCGAGGTGGTAGACACATCCGGACAGCTTCCACCGGTATACCTCTTGGTCAAATGCGCGAAGAGCAAGGATGTCCCACAACCGATGAATTTCCACGATATGCTGAAGCTTTCCGGACGCGCTGTCCAGAAGCACACGCCTGAGGTATCTATTCTGCATGCCAAGCTTCTGCTTGAAAATTTAGACTTCGACGATGCGAGCCATCTTCGGCCACTCGCTTTGTGCGAAGTGACGGAATCTCCGCACTCATCTGTGCTTTCACAGCTGAAGGATACAGCCCTCCCGGCACACGTGCCGTCGCTGTCAGTTGCTGCGTGCCTTCGAGATGATCTTCCACAGATCAATGCGGAGCAAGGTGGTAGGGTTTATGTTGGCGATGCAGGGACTATATCGGTGGAAGAGGTGCTGACATACCCTCGCAGTGAAGCAGAGTTTCGCGACAGATTGGCTGATGGCCGTTGCGCCCTTAGCATAGCATCGCATCCCAGCGCTCACATCTTCCATTCGCTTAGATCTCGCGTGAGGCTGGGACGAGCAGCGGATCGGCGTTGAAGGAATTCCTCTCCGCTGGCCAGTGGCCGAGTCGCCTGCAGCGGCGAAGCGCTTGGCTTTCGAGCGCTCTCGCTCCTCAGGCCGCGCACAGCCGTCGAGCTCGCCCAGTCGCGGTTACCACCAGGCCATGAGCCCCTTCGAGCACCTGTATGCTCTGTTTCGCACGGTTTCGCCTCCAGATACAAAAACGCTCGTGAAGCTGCTGCGGAAGCCGCCAGAAGCCCAGCAGAAGCCCAGCAGCTTCGTTCTCGCGTCGGGTGTGTTGAGCCCGCCCTGCGCTTGAGGCCGGTCTTCGAGAAGTGGCCACGAGCTGAAGCAGTTCCTCCGAAATTCGCCAGTTCCCGAGACATCCCGAGACCGCCGGGTTTTTGCCGTTTCATGTTCGTGGTCCGGTGTCCAGTTCAGGCGGTGGCAGCAGATGAGAACGAGTGCGACTTTCGTCGGCGGCAGCTGCAGAGTCCCAAGTTGTCCAAAAAAAGGCGGGGTACAGCTGTAGAAGATGGGCTCAAAACGCGGCGCAAAACTAAGGCCGGCGACTTGGTCCAGGGTGCAGGACTTGGCACAGCAGGCGCCCTCGGAGCATCCTCAAAGTCGAAGCCTTCAGAATGCGGAGTCTTTGAGAGGAGGCCTCAGCCGCAACACCAAGCAGCCCATCAAAGCCAGGGCCGCTGAGGCCTCGCAGAGCCCCGACACCTCCTTTGCTCCAAACCCCTAGCATTGCAGGCAGAAGACCCTTCTTGCAAGGACCTCAACCGCGACTGGATTTGTGCAGTGGGCCTGTCCGGCTGCGAAGCCTGAAGGTCCAGGAGTTAACACACGCTCTCCGGGAAATCGTCGTCACTGTCTTGGCTGTGTACAACGACTCGTCCTCAGTCATCACGGGGGCTTCTTCTGTACCGAAGGGCACCAAAAGGCTGATTGCAATTGGAGTCTGATCGTGCTGCATAAGCTCTGATTTCCCGAGTACACACCCACATACACCCGCAGATGCAAACATCATGAACATGCGAGTGCAAGCGGGGCTGGGAGATGTTGGCCCGAATTGGGTGTTTATGCCCCATTGAGCCACTTTTTCATGCAGAGACGATTGATGCATCGATGCAAAGCTCAACGCCCGCCATCGCACGGGGGCCATGTCGAGGCAAAAGGGACGGATTGCCCTCGTGGGTCACCCCGTCCCTCGCTTCTGCCCTTCGACAGGAAGCGGCCGAAGTTCGAGCACCAACCCCCTTCTGAGGTGGAAAGATGCAAATCCTGGGTCGGAACAGGCAGCACAGATTTTTCCGAATCGTGGGTGTGTGGGTTTCGTCCGATCTGGGAGACCAATGCCGTAATGCCAAACAGTTGTGCCAGCATGGCCCAGATTTTGATGACGTCGTTGGTAAGAAGTCGACCACAAGCTCTGCATCGAGGATGGCACCTGTGACGTGGAGCTGTCCCCTGCCTTTGTGCGGAATTGGAAGGCAAGTCCTTGGTAGGTGAATGACAGTGATTGCCCTAGAAAGTGATTTCCCTATGCAGGGCTGCGCACATCGGCTTGCGGCTGAGAATTGAAACTCCAAAGGCTGCTCGCAGAATGCTGGGAGTGGGTGGAACCAAGGCGCTACCGCCTGCCAGGGGCAGTCCTGGCGACACCTTGCACTGCCATCTACGAGCCAGACGTGGAGCCAGTCGCCCAGATCTGGGTGTTTTTTGCGGGGGTGGACTGATGCCTGGTGCCTTTCGAGGTCGCATCGCGTGGTCTTGCAAAGCCTGCCTGTGACCTCCATCAAGGTGCAGTGCACAGCGCAGCATTCCATTCTTCCGTGATTCAGTCCATCTGATGCCCCATTTTTCCACCACTGGCCTTCCTGAACGTGGCCACCTGGGAGGCAGAGCAGTCAGCTGGCTTCCATGTCTACGATGCTGCTGTCTTGAAGTCGCAAGATGCCTGGACCTTAAGGAGTTTTCACTTTGAGATTTGTAACTGACGGACCACTGCACTGCAGGGTGCTTCCTGCCCAGGCGGTGGCGGCGTCACTCCGTGGCACCGCCGAGGTCATCGGCGGCCCAGTTCCTCTCGCTCCCTGCCCATTGAAGTGGAAGTCGCGAGGGATGTGAACCAAATGCCCCCAGCAGTGCCCAGGATGCTCTGGAGGAGGTCTGCCGGCACGAATGGAAAATGCACCTGCGTGTCCCGTTCCTACAATTCTAAAGTCAGTATCTTGTCCTGTTCCAACAGCTGCACACTCTTCGACGCATTGCTTGCATCTGATGCAAAGGCCGACAGCGAGGAGGACATGAAGAGGTTGGTTGCCGACCTTCGGCAGTCTGTGCACAGCCAAGAAGAGTTGTTCGTAGAAGGTGTGACACAACTTCGAAGCATGATGCTTCACTCAGGTGAGGATGCATCAGCAGGTCCCTTTCTTAATCAAAGCAGGGCCTCTCAAAGCAAGCTTGCGCTAGCCTCCCTTGCTCTCCGAGCCGAGGCCAGGACAGCTGGTGGCATCTCACTCACAGTCGCTTGACTACATGATCCTTGCTTCGCTCAGGCCTCTTTTGGGTGTGTTTTTGCTGGTGCAGTCACGCCAGGCCACAGGCCAACCGGTGCCCAAGGGCAGTGGCCAGCCGACGGCTTAGAACAAACTCAGCAACCCGAGTTTCTTTTTCTGACTCTCACCTCTCGTTGTCAGGCTTGAAGTGCTTCTCGTTCGTGCCAAGAATCTAATGCCCAGGAGCCTCGTGTAACAACGCAGTCACTCTGAGCTCGATGCATGTGCACCTCCATATCCCCAATCTTGTCAGTGGATTGACAACAAGATCATGCATATGCTGGTCGCAGCCAGGGAGCCCGGAGCACTCGTAGCAACCTTCAAATTGTCAAAATCTCTTGGGGCCCTTGGGATCCTCGGCGTTTCCGCACTCTCTGACCGTCACATCTCGCCTTTTATCTTCGGCATGGCCCCGCAGGACTGGAGGATGCCCGGTGCTCAGGGCCAAGGCCTTTCCTGGCGACGGGGGTACCTCTGTGCCCAGGCACAGAGGTGGCGAACTCCCTAGATGCTTTGGCGGCAGGAAGGCCGATCCTGCAGGTGGGGCAGCTCCTTTTCGGGCGCTGCACGGGATCTTGGACTGGTGGAGGGTCGCGCTGCTTTCGTGGGGTTGGGCGCCTTCTCACCTTGTCCAAGACGGTGAATCTTCATCTTTCCGACCTGGTTGGGGATGCCGTCAGATTTGTCACTGCGTTCCATGCCTATGCGCGTCAACTTGGGCAATCCTGGGTCCTAGGTATAGGCTCACAATCTCCCCCGCAGGTAGCAAGAGATCACGCAGCCTGTCTTCATTTTGCTGTCGTAGGTTTCTTTCGGCAGAAGGCTCTCTACATATTTGCTGACCTCGATGCCTTGATGATGACGGCATATGATGGCATTTTTTATTCGCTTTCGCATGATCACCTCGATTGAGCTGATGAAACGGGAGAGGTGCTTGGGGCCCGTCTCTGCCAGGCTATGTCCTGCCCACAACGCCCTTCGGCTGATCCGAAGCCCCCTGAGCTCCGAATCTCCGTGGTTTCGATCCGATTGCCGAGAGTTTTCACCACGTGATGGGTTAGCAAATGCATTTTGACATGACGAGATATGTTGTTCTTTATGCAGTGTAGTAAGCGACACAATGCAACAGAGTGCGGGGCCATGTAGGTGACGGTAGCAAAACGGTTTCCGCTTTTCCGGAATGGTTCAGTGGCCGTGGTCATCGGAAGGCGTTTTCTCAAAGAGACCGGGCCAGGTCATGGGAGAGTTGCTCCGGCCTGCGAAGAACCTGGAGATCTTTGTCCGTCTCCGCATCCTCGATGACGCAGAGGTTCGATTTGGATGGCACATCAGCGTGACCTCCTGTAGTTTCGAAGCGCAAGGTCCTTTCCATGGATGGGCACCAGTGCTTCGACTCCCCAACACGGGAGGGTTCAGCAAGCGTGACACCCAGCAAGACCGTGAGAAGTTCTGCCTGCAGCTGAAGCCGGGGAGGCCCCAGCTGGAGTGGACTTGACCACGGAGGCCAGCACGACGGCCGCGGCCTTTGGATATGCACGGAACAGTGCAGCTGCATGCGGTTGCACTGCAGTGCTGGGTGCTGGGGCCGCAGGCTGGGTCTTCCGTAGCCAGATCTTCCTACCCGAAAGGCACTCGGGCAGAAGCAGCTTCCAGGAGTCCGGAACATATGCTTATTTGTGGAGGATGCCGAACTTGTGGCTGGAGCTGGAAGTCATAAACATCGGAATTGTCGCCTCCTGAGCCCGAGGGTTTGGTGCGAAAGGCCCAGCATCTCAGCGACGACTTCGGTTTAAGGCCGGCGAAGAGCTTGTGGGCAGGGTCAAAGTTCCCATCACGAAGAAGAACTTTCTCACCAATGTCAAGGCCGTCGGCATTTCCCCCATTTCTCCCCTGCCTCTCTAACACATAAGAAGTTCCTGGTGAAGTTGGGAGGCGCCTTTCAGGAATCTTTGGCTGCGCGGATCTGAGAGCTGGGAAGGGCCTGTGATGGCCCGTGTGAGATGAGGGAGTTAAGCTGACCGTATGGTCTCTGAGGCCCTTAGCCTTGCCTTTGCCAGATGCCGATGGGAAGTGGCGGGCCGAAGCCTTATTAGGGAACGTATTGGCAGAGTCGAGCTGATGCAACAAGCTTCTTTCAGGTCACAGAGTGTGGAGACGTTCAGATCATGACAATGCCATCTGCCTAGCACTTTCAAGCCGAGCGAGCAAGCGACAGACGGAGAGACTCTTATCAGGTACGCTCTGCACAGCTCGGCTTGTGTGCAGAGTGCGGCTCAAACTGCACATCGCTTGCCATGGAATGGACGGTGCTGCTTAGCTGCCTCGTCAATCGCCCATACATGCCTCAGTGGGAAATCACACGAGGGAGTCATTGACGCAGACAATGTCAACGGTGGACACGGTGGTGGAAGGGGCCGGGACAGTCCTTGCGATGTTCTTTCTATCCTCTCCCATGCCGCAAGTCTGGCAAGCACAGAAAACTCCGGCCAAGGTCGACCTGATCAATCCGATCACCATTCTCTCAATGTATGGAAACTGTGCTGCGCAGGTTGTCTACGGAATCTACCGACCTTTGCCTGCAGCGGTCCCCTGTAACCTTTATGGTTTGGCTGTTTCCTTGTACTACTTGGGTGCTTGCTGGTGGTGCGCCGCGAAGTTCAGTGGGGCGCTTCAGTGGAACTCGGGAGCAGTAGGTGGAACAGTTGGCTCGGTCACGGTGTCCCTGCTGATGTGGCTTTATGCCGCCCTCGAGATCCACCAGAATGCCGCGGAGCACATCGGCTCGTTGGCCCTCTTACTGAACGTCTTGGTCTTCGCAGCGCCCCTCTCGGCTCTTCAGCGGGTCTTGCGGGACCGCACCTCTGAATCCCTGCCACCCTTGCAAACAGTGCTGGGACTTCTTTGCAGTGCGTGTTGGTGTGGCATTGGGTTGAGGCATCAGAGCATGCCCCTCTGGGTGCCCAATGCCGTGGGCATTCTTCTGTCTTTGATCCAGCTTTCGCTCATCATGGCTTATCCTCGGGTCAAGCCGAGCAAGGAGGTGCTCTTCGAAGACGAGATCTGGTTACTATTGGGGCATGTTTTCAGAGTCTTTTTGCGAGCATTTCCGGTTGAACAATCCAAGACACAGCTTGAAAAGCTTCGGCTCGTTTCCCCGAACTAGAATGTGGATACTTGGAGTTCACGAAAGTAGCACCGTAGGCGGCTCTCCCTTTCTAGCCGAGGTGTTCTCGGCAAAGCTAACCAGGAGGCGTCTTCTTCAGATGGCCATCGGGGGAGTCATGGTACTGATTCTGGCAGGGATGAGTTTGATAAACATAGACTATTCGAACGTGCTGGGCGTCGACTTGGCATTGAGGAGATGACCCTAGGTGTTCTTAGCTCCACATGCTCAAGGCTGCGCGGCTCGCACTGCAGAGTTGGCCGGCACACATCTGGACGGGGACGCGAGCGCACACTCACACTCCCCATCTTGCGGATGTTGACTCGGGACCTTCAAGGACGGAGAGGACATGCTGAAGTCGGATGCAGAACCGCGCCGTGCACTGGCCATACTGCTTGCGGGAAGTGCAGCGGCAACAGCAGCAACTTTAGTACTGCAGCAGAGTGCCGCATTGCAGCAGCATTCGTCTCCCGACATTTCAGAACGCACAGGCGCAGTAAAAGGGTGCCAGTTCCTCTGAAATTCGAGCGCGCAACCTCCGGATGGACCAGAGGTGGAAGCCCATAGACAGCGACAATCCACAAGGTGGAGTGCCGACAGTGCTGCACTTGGCATTTGTTGGCTCCATGTGCAGTCTGAAGGCCAGCTCTCCGGTGCCTCCACTTCATCCTCCTCATCCATGAGCTACCTGAAGGCGTATCTCCGGAGAGCTCCTCAGCTGTTTCCTTGCTCAAAGCTCTCCCTTCCTTTCTATTTGTCCGTTCTCTTCGGTCTCAGGGGCGAGCTGGAAGCGGCCGAGGGCGGTGCTCGGTGCATACGAACTTGCGGAAGCGACCTGGACTCAGCCACTCCTTTTGCCGAGAACCTTCGTGCTTTCGTCGTTCAACCCAGGATGGCGAAATTTCCGGAAGTGCACCTCCCTTGACTTGGTCAAGTGTGCCGTTTGTGGCTGCGCTCGCAGAGCGAGACCCATCCTAGGATCTTGCGCTGATCCTGGAGCCTGCAGGCACGCTGATGAAGCGCAAAGAGTATGCAGATGTGCTGACTCAAGTATTATACATCGCAGTATCTTGCCAGGCTACAACCCGAACCTGGCTGATTGCCAGGGATCTGCTGAGGAGGCCCGTCCATCGGATGACATGTGGGCAGCGCGGCGACAGCACGCGAGGCCGCGCTCGAGCGTGCCGTCTCGATGGCTATGCTGCAGCCTCGCCTTCAATGCGCCAGTCTCAGCAGCTCAGATTCGCTTCCAGTTCACTTTGCATTGCGAGAATGCCATTTGAGGTCAGGAAGAGCGGAGCCTCCATAGCTGGAGAGCTTTCCGAAACAAGCTGAAGTCTGCCGGTTTGGCCAAGGCATGTGGGGTTCCGACTTCCCTTGCTGCCAGGGAGCTGTGTCTTCAGGCCCCCTTGGCGGAGCTCAGACTCTACCGAGCTGGCGTGGGTGAGGCGAGGGCAGGGGCAGCAGGGGGATCCTCGAAGTGGCATGGAGGCTTCGAGGCATCGCGGGTAGGCGGAAGCAGTGCTCGCTTTTGTCGTCAGACTCTCGCAATGGTGGTGATAATGCCAAACTCACAGCCTTCTCTATCTTTTTGCCAAGTCTCAAGTCCTCTATGCATCTCATGCTTTCGCAGGCAAGTTGGGAAGAGCAGCTGAAGGACTGCAGCCTGACCGCTTGCGGCACCACGCTGTCACAAGTTAGCCCTGACTGGCACCGGTCAGGCCTTGCTCCGCGCTGGGGTCCCGGACAAGTACAGATCGCAGGCTTCGAATGGTTTGTGTTTTCCATAATATGAGATGGCGAGTCTCGGACTTCAAGTTGTGGAGGTCTGGCTGGATCTGTCAATGGCGGCACGCTCTCGTGCAGAGTGGCCGGAAGGCAGCTCAGTGCTCAGTTTTAGCAGCATCTGCTGTGTGATGGCCCGCTCCACCTTTTATCAACATTGCCACCAGTCGCAAGCTGTCAGAGTCTGCAAAAAGGCTACAATGCTTTCCTTGACTGTGGGAAGCAGCTGGTCAACGCATCCGTGCAGCAGTTGCAGCAGGACGGTAAACTGAGGAAAGCTGCAGAGTCCTTCCACAGAGTTGTGTTGACCCTGAGGACAGCCTGACAGCGTTGGATTGGGAACCTTCACAGGCCAGCTGCTGCGACAGTTCCTCTTTCCTGCTCCTTGTGCCTGTCTTTAGGATCCAGCAGCTGTGGAAGCGCACCGACAGCTTCTTCAGAAGGTTTGGGGTGGCAGAGCACAAGTGCTGGCTTCTGGGAATCTTCCCTTTTCTCTATGCTAGGCCCGCAGTGTCTGCTTGGCACTCATTGGCTTCTCCTCCGAGCCGGGACCCGACAGCCCTGGCTCCACGGGCCGAACCTGGAAAGTTCCGTTTCCTCTGGTTTTGAGGTCTGCGGAAGAGGGTGCAGGCGCGTGCGAGTGTCCAGTGCCCTGCATACGACCTGTCGGATGTATTGCAGAGTCTTCAGGTATCGCTTACACAGAGAGTTTGCTGGCACCAGCCCAAAAGCACAGCTCATGTCGCAGCCACTGTCTGTTGAATCGTCCGCTTGTTTCGAGCTGGCACGTGAGGAAATTGCTTGTCACCTACTCTCGGGCAAGAAGGCTCGACTGAGACTGCACAGCCTTTGACCATCTGACGTATGCAGCTGTATTCTGCAGTGCCAGGGCCGTCAGGGTTCGAGCCAAGGGACTTTGAGGTAGAGTCTCGGCCATGAGCATTTGACGCGAATCGCAATGCTGTGAGCAGCATGGAGAGGATGCGGCGTGAAAGTCAGCAAGCCGTGATGCAACATATCGTACATCTGCGTGTCATTACCTTGCTCTGCGCAGACAGCTCTGCATCCTGTGCCTCGTTGACATCGCACTCGAAAGGGGACTTCTGTGGGTCGTATCCAAGGATTCGTTCATGTCACCAACACCGGATGATCAGGTGAAGCGGGCCTTGTACACCGAATTATGCCGAGCCACACGGCCGGTGGCTGTGCAGCGCATAGTATGCTCCTTGCAGAAGCAAGAGTTGGTGGTCGATAATCGGGATGCTACGGTCGTGGTGCAGAGGCTTGGCAAGTGTTCTCTGTGGGACAGCGCGCTGGATGCAGTGATGCGACTTGCATGTCCTGGCTTGCTGCAGCCGGATGCTGTATTGTTGGGTGCCATGGTGACAGCATGCGGACGAGGCAATGCATGGACACAGCATCTCAGAAGCCCAAATGCAAACACTCTTTTCGGTTTCCAGAGGGCGGTTAACAGGGTTGACTCGTGATAGTCCGAACCGTCCTCCTGTCGCTCCTAGTGACTAGAAATTTCCCCTCTGTGGTTCCCACGTAGATCCACGCAGATGACGTAAGGTCCCTCCTTTGCTTGGACTTGCTGGCCGAGTATGGTCTCGAAAAGGGTATCTTTATTGTAAACGCTGCGGCTAATGCCTGCTTGGAAAGTTCATGGCCTCGGACCTTGGAGCTTTTGCGAGAGAACGCATACTTGCGGCTGAACACAGTGAGTTACAACATCTTGCTTGGTGCTTGTGAGCGTGGTGGCATCCGGGGCATGCGAGACTCCATACTCTTGCAAATGCAAAACTCGGTACTGTTGCCGAGCCTCGTGACCTACAACTCCTTGATTACCTTGTGTGGAGTTGATGGCGACTGGAAGTCTGCTTTGCAGTATCTGAAAGAACTCCGGCAAGGCGAGCAGGAGCTTGAGCCGGACATCATCTCCTACAACACTGCAGTCAGTGTTTGCGGGACGTGCTCGCAGTGGCAGCCTGTCCTTGCTCTTTTCGGAGATATCGCCAAGCACGGGCTAAAGCTCGATGCATTTTCGTTCGGTGCGGCGATTGCAGGAGCAGCCAAGTCGCGCAGATGGCGCTGTGCAATGTCTCTCCTGCAGCTCGTGTGGCCAGCTGGCTCCGTTGGGATCCGACCGAATGTGGTCGTTTGCAGCTCTGCCTGTGATGCGCTTGCCCAAGGACGCTGGGAGAGAGCCGTGGGCTTTCTTGCAGACATGGTGCGCGTGGCTCTGCTGCCGAACGCATTCACCATCAGCTCTTCCATCGGGGGCTGTGGCCGTGGCCAGCAGTGGGCAAAACCACTGCTATTGCTGCGATGGATGGGGCGCAGAACAGGTGTGTCTTACCCGGAAGGAGTTTCCGCCACCATCGGGGCCTGCGCCCAGGTGGAAGGGCAAAGCCGCAGGGTAGGTTCATGACATGAAAGCAGTCTGTCCCTGTCCCTGTCTTGAGGCCAAGTGCTGGCAGGCCTCCTGTGCCTTGCTGCAACTTTTAAGGCAAGCGGAGGAGCGGCCGGGTGTCCTGGCATACAACGCAGTGCTGGGCGCCACGGCTTCCTCAGAGGTGGAGGCAGGTAGCGACACCCGCGGTGCCTGGAAGTGGTCTTTGCGCCTCTTTTGGGAGCTCTCCCATGCGGCGACGAGCGCCGACATCATCAGTCCACGACTTACCAAGCTTGTCTGAAGGGTTGCAGGTTCGGTTTCGGAAAGTCGTGGGAGTCCTCGACTCTACTGTACACGTTTCCACACTATACATCGCAAAGTCCAATGCGTGATCTAAGGTTTCAACTCCGTGATAAACGCATGTCAAACTGGCGGCTGTTGGCCGGGAAGTCTGACTTTGCTCGGAAGACTGCCTGAAGCTATCCTACAGCCAGATTTTCTCAGCTTCAGTGACTTGGGCATTAAGTTCTGCTCCACGGAGCCACAAAGCTTTCGGTCGAATTGTCCTTTGGGTTTAATGCTTTTGCCAGCTCGGCTTTTTGTAGCAGTCTTCAAAGGGACTAACACAACGTTGAGTTTGTCGCAGTTTGTTGTCCGGCGTTGCGAAGGCTGCGCGGTCGAAGCTTGCAGCTGCGGACATAAATGGGAGGTAGGATCTTCCCTGCTGGCCACCATGCAACAGCTGCAGCCGTCTCAGAGTCTCAGAAATCCCCTGCACTGAAGAGCCTTAAAGTACGGCACCGAGCAACTCTGGCAGTCTGCGTTGGACCAAGGCCCCAAAGCGAGGGACCCAACATAGCCGCAGCCTACGAGGTGTTGGTGGAAGCCTTGGCTGCTTGACTCTTATTTCGTTCGAATCTTCCCATGCAGGTTTCTTGTCATTTGAATCTTTGGTTAGAAACTTATTTGCTGCAGAAGGCATTTTTCTGTGCAGCGCCAGTGACAGCTCCGCCGCGACCGAAAGGAAACACCAACCCAGACGGAGCCCAAGGGTAGTATATATTATATGTACTATAAATAGTATCCATATAGTATCTATAGTATGTATATATATATATATAGATATAGATATAGTGTTGTGAGCCGAAGCGACTTGCGGCCTCGAAGGCCACCACCGGCCACCGCAGAAAGAACAGCAAAAGCAACCGACCCCGCCTGGCAAAAGAGAGCAACAAACGATGTCTCGCTGCCACAGCAAAAGCGAGAGAATACCAGACATCAACAACTTTTTATATATATATATATACATATATATATATATACTGTTACTCTTACTGTCTCTGCAGCCGAAGGAGTCAAGAGGATCCCTCCCAGCTGCAGCGCGGCTTCTGGCAGAACTTCAGCTTCGGACGGAACAAAGCTACATATCACGCCATGGGCAAAAAAGGGACAGGCCCTCGATTCGATGCGGCAGGTCACTCCTATGCCTTGTGAAGGCTTTTGAGTGGGCATATGGCATATCGAGAGTCGGCTTTGCCAGTTGCCAGGCGAGTCTCTCAGAGCAAGATCTTTTCTGGCTTCTCCACGCCAACGTCTGAGCTTCTGAAACGGTTGCCGCTTTTTGCACCCTGAACATTAACCCCCAAGCCCCCACGGGTTTAGGATGCAGGGTTTAGGGCTCATCCAGGCACTGGCCTACTCCAACTCGAACGGAGCTTTTCGGGATTACTTCTCCTCCACAGCTCCTGGGGACGGTCGGAAGCTCACGATGGAAAGCGCTTTTTGCTTTTCCGGTGGACTGGCACTTGCAATGCGTGTGCTGTCCTTTTCATCGCAAGCAGAGAGCTTTGCAAGGCGTGAACTCGGCTTTGGGTATGGCGGAGGAGTTTGCAATTTCGGGTTACAGCATATGTGGCATACAGCTCTGCCTTTCGACTACGAAGGCTCCAACTGAGGTCTAGCAGGTGCGGGCCTGGAGTGTTTGTTCTGGGTAAAGGGCAATGCTTCCACATCTTGCCTCTCGACCCAGCATCGTGCAGTTTCGCATGCGCACGTTGACGTGTGGCAGTACCACGCTTACACCAATTCGTATTTGCACTGTATCTAGATGCATGCCATAATGATTCATCGCTGATCGTATAATAGAGACTTTCGTATATCACAGTGCTGTACATAGTCAAGTCAACGATTGATCCAGAGTTCGATGAATGATCATTTGCGGTTGCATGCTTTTGTGTACCATACTGCATCGCATTGTGCTGCCTTGCATTGCGTTGCGCCACATTGCATCGTATCGCCTTGCATTTCATGCAGGCATGTGCGTATGTATTTATCGATTTGCTCATTTATTTATCTAGTTGTGCACAGGACACGTTGCTTCTGGATTGTGCACTGGCTATTCACGAGTGCCGGCCTGATTTGGAGCTATGTGCAGAATGTGTGCACATGCCGAGGGAGTCAGCGAAGCAACAGCATCCACGTGCCCGGCGAGGCCCTTGGTGCGACGACGCCTGGTGATGCTGGGGCCACTGCCTCGGATCCGAGTGAAGATCTGGAAAGCCGGAGCAGATAAGAGCAGAACACGTTGGAGTGTTGCTGGGTGATCTTGAACTTATTCTGCCCAACCTTGCTACTTGTGACGTTCTCATTGATATCAGCAGTGTCGGCGAGCTGAAAGCCGCAGAGACCTCAGCAACCCAAGCACCTGCGACAACAACTACAACCGTAGGAGCAGTGCGCGAAAAAGAGGATCAGCAAGGAAAACAAGACGAGGGGCCAGTCTGAGTGTATGAATGTGCCAGCGCGCTCACGACTAGCCGGCAGTTTCTTCGACGCAGGATTCCCACATCGGCACTCTTCTGGACGTACTTCGGCCGGCTCTTTGCAGGGGTGATCCCAGCGTGCAGCAAAGACGCGGCTTGGCGTGCCTGGGAATCTCACGTCAGGTACTGCCCAAGGCCTCCTTCTGGCGGCTGATGGACGTGTTGGTCGGGGAGCTTGGGCCCCAGCAGCGAGTCGTGTTGCTGTGTGCTTAGGTCGGCCGAGATTGTCTGGTGGGTTTCGTTTTTTTGGTGCTTACTGTAGGTCGGCCGACCCGGAGGCTTGCCCACATGGGCCAGAGCCTCGAGGGCCTCGCCGAAACACATTCCGAGCCCTCCAAAATCCAAAATGTCACATCGAGGCGCCACGTGTTGGTGGACCTTTCCTTCGGAATCCTCCAAGGCCACTGCCTCAGCGACGTCGCCGGAGTTGCAGCCAAAGATCCATGTTGCAGGTGCCCGAGATGGCATCTGTGCCTGCAACTCTGCGAAGAACCGGCGAGTTTTTTTCGGTTGCCAGCTTTCGACTAATTGCAGCTTTTCGAGTGGCAGGCTCGAGGTCACGTCTCTCGTCCGAGCTAGACTCGCCTCTTTGCTTGACCCAGAGGACCTCCAACAAGGGCAACGTCTGCAGTGCTTGCGCCAAAAGCCCGTTTCAAGCACATCGCTCGTAGGGCCGCAAGCTTTTGAATCTGGCGTTTGGCAGGACTTGATGGACATCCTTGTTCAAGCCGAGGACCGCTTCCAAGTTCGGGTATGCTTGCATGCAGTGACCACAGTGGGAGCGGAGGCCTTTCTTTGGCAAGGTTTCAGCCGACATGAGGCCAGGACCACCAATTGCAGACGGAAGTAGTGTGAATAGACTTTGAAGCTGACAGGTCCTGAGTATGTGGAGCGCTGCGTCTCAGGAGTTCACAAGGTGCTCGGGAATTGAACCACGGAGGTTGAGTGCGAAGCGCATTCTTGCCGTTTAGGTTCTGTCGCCAACGGCAGCGGCAGGCATCTGTGGGCATTGGGATGGCAGAGTTTGAACAAGAGGGAAGCTGTTTTTGCAAGTTTGATGGGTTCCGGGCAGGACACCGTCGTTCGGCAGCCAGCGTCCTACAGAACAAGTGGGCACATGCGGCATATCCGATAGTACTGACCGGGTTGGCTCTGAACACTGTACCACTGCTGCAGGCTGCATGCCTTGAGCCCATTGAAGCCTCTCGGCGAGTCTTTGGATGCTGCGCCAAGGTGCAGGGGGAGAACTGTTGAAATGTGATGCCCCACATCCATCCACAAAGCTTCTCTGTAGAGTTCCTAGGACAAACTAGCGAGGCAACTGACGACGCACCTTGTCATTCAATCGGCAGGGAACCCCGGGCGTGTTGGGATGTTGGGATGGCATTTTCTTGGGCCAAGTTGTTGTATCATCGTTTTGTTGGAGCAGAGGCTCTTGAGCTCCGAGAGGGCCATGCCCTTGTTTAATCGCACGGTGCATCGAGGTGGTGCCAACGATGCAGAAAGCCTTGCTGCTTGACACCAACTGTGCGCGTGCGGCCCTGCGACAGCTCCCAGAGGCACAAGTTCCAATCAGCTGTGCAATGTTGACGCCTGCTGGTTCGGTGCCTGAGCAGATTTGAGCCGCGTCGAAGCAGCCGATTGGAAGCCGAAGCCTATGCTCACCGAAGCCTACCCTCGCTGAGATCTCTCCCCGCGACTATTCGGGTCATTTGCCGACGTCACCCACTTGCTTGCCTCAATGCTGTCTGCTAGCGCACGGACAAGACACGACTGCGGTCGCAACGTTTCGCCACCACGAGCTGCCTGTAGCCCTGAACTAGTACGAAACCACCCAGGAGATAATGTAGACCCTAAGCTGCGGCAACAGCCCGAACAAATGCCGACGGAAAGCATTCGAAAGCCACGCTTCCGTGTGGGAAGCGCGTGGTGAGGAGCTGTTGAGCATCGTCCTGGGTCCGATGGTGGACCCTTCGGTGCCAGCCTCGGACCTATGCCGCGATGAGTCTCTACTGTAGCAGATCTAAGGGCTCGTGCTCGCGTCGGCAAGGCCCAGGATGGGAAGAGCGTCGCGCAGATCGCTTCCATGGTGGGGGCCTTTCTCTCCAGAGCCGAGTCTACAAGAGCGGAAGCCGTGGACTAGAGATCGTCGAAGTGAAATGCGCTCGAAGTTATGTCCTTCTGACACGAGGGAGGATTTCACTATATTGTAATATGCGTCTTTGCAGACAGTCGTAGGAAGGACAACTTTGAGAATTGAAGTGAGACCAGCGGGCTCTTTTGTGAGGTCATGTCCTCTGCGCTGGGCCTGTGCGGTCGGCCCGGTGCCGCCGCTGAGCTGCCCGACGTCAGTGGCCCAGCACGGCCCCATGCACGGGCCTTGCAGCGACATGTCGAGATTCTCCTTCTTGGGCTGTGACGGCTGTGACGCTTGAGGTGCGGCCCTGGAATTGCTTGGGTTCCCCAGCAGAGCCAGAGTCCTTGACGTCAGAAAGGCGGAGTCGGGGCGGAGTCTGGCTGCAAAAGAGAGCCAGAGACAACACGCGTTGTGCGTGGCGTGTGGCATGGGCGGCCAGTGGGGGGAGGTTCTCTGCAGCGCTGACGGAGCACTTTCCAGGTCGTCCGGCTACGCTGCTGCTTAGTCCAAGTCCTCTGCGCATTCTGGGTTTCGGGGACTGGAGACAGGCTGGAGCGAGAAGGCCGAGGACACACGAAATTCTTTGTTCGCTCCGTCCTTCCTCCGCACTGCAACTCTTGAAGGAGCTCTTTGCAGCATTTCGCTGGGATGCATGGCAGGTTGCTGAGTTATCCGGAACTCGTGTCGCAGGATTATCGGCAGAGTTCGGACTTGGCTGTGTAAGGGCATCGGAAGCAGTCTTCGAAAATCACATGAGCCTGAACGAGTCTGGCCGGCTTGGGTTCTTCGCCGTTCCGGTGAGCTTTAGAAGAGCAGTGCATGGCAGGTTCTTCCTTGTCCTCATCTGCTGCTCTCAAGGCGAAAATATCCGGGCCTCTTTGAGAGCTGCTCGTGATCGTGAACTCCCGCCAGGCAGTGTGACCGAGAAGGCTTCGGCCTTCTTCGAGTTGTTCGCAGGGCCCGCCAGGCTTGGCATGGCTTGGCCGCTTTGCTTAGGAGTCTTCGGAGAGAAGCAGAAGTGTGAAGGCCGGATGCCGTGGAGTCCTACCCCCACCGGACTGGCACGTAGCTCACGTGTGGATGTGGGGCCAGCTTAGATCTGAATTTTGGTCACTTGTAGCGTACCTCCAAGTTCTGCGGCAGTGCAGGATTCCCATCTCGCGGGTGGCTGAGCTGGCCGGTGGTCCACAGGAAGAGGAGGCCGGCGGCACCTGAGCCGCTGTGCAGTGGCACAGCACAGAACGGGTGGGTGGGAGGCCTTAGCAGCCTTGGGCCGGGTCGGAGACTCATCGCATGGGAGCAGCGAGCAGTGAGACCTCGTGAGACGAACTTCTCCCTTCATCGAGCTTTCATGCAGCTCAGGTGTGTGGGTCCCTCCCACCGCCACGGGATTCACCTGCACTGGAGATTGAGGCACTGGACAGGACGGCCACTTGAGCTCCGAGCTTGAATGCCTCGACGAGGTCTGGGCAAACGAATACGGAGAGCTGTGAGCTCCTCACGTGAGTTGGTACACATTCCTGTGTGCTCTTCTGCCGCTTCGATTTGGTGGCTGAGGGCCGGACGAGCTTTCGTCCGCTCCTTGTGGCCGTTTGTTCGGTCAAGCCCTCTGCTCCAAGAGCGAGAGCTCCTTCGCGCAGGTGCGGAGTGCGGAGACCAGTTTTAAGCTTTCCATTCTTGAGCTTTGAGCTCTCAGCAGGTTCTGCGTTCTACATCTGGGCGGAGGAGGGCGAGGCGGGAGAGGGTGGCGGCTTCTCGCCTGTCCTGGGCTCCTGGCTGCCTCATGTTCCAGGGAAAGACCCCGCGCTGCGTGGGAGAACTTCGCTTGGGCATCTCTTGGACTCCCAGGACAGTCGTTTGCAGCTGTCGGGCCATGAAGCAGCAACTTATCTCCTCCGCAAAAAGCAAAGAGCAACTGAGCAGTCCGTGTCTTGTATTCCATAAAAACGTTTTAATGTGTAAGGTAGTGTCGAAAGTTTCGCGAGGGGTCCGCGAGAGGAAAGCAATACTGATCGAACGTTTAGACTTGGGACACGGACACATGCTGTGATTCTGCAGTGGCCAGCGCACATATTCGAGGAACAAGCAGTACCCAGCCATCGGGACGTTGGTTCTCTGCTGCAGTCCGAGGGATATTCGCATCAGTGCTCTGGCCGATTCTCCTCGATGACCGAGGCGCCGGCGGCTTGAAGCTCTTCAGTGCGGAGCGGCTTTCAAGGCCCAGGAAACCCTTTTGTTTCTTGGCTGAGATGTGCATTTAGACCCATCCGCACCCAGGCCTTGGATGCGTGCAGTCGTCTATGGCGAGGACCCATTGCTGATTGCTAGCCGCTAGCTGTTGACACTGGCAGACGCGGAGGATGGGCATCGAAGATTTCCGGTCCTTCGTGGACATCAGAGCATGGGTCAGAAGGCTCGTCTGAATGCATGAATCATGTGCCAGCTTCGTTGCTCACTGCTAAAGTTCACAGAGGTCACGATAATTGCCATGCTACTGACTGTAGTGAAGTGTACGTTGCGCCTGTGCGAGTGTGCTTGTTGCCAGAAATGCCTCGCCAGGATGGTTTGCTGCCAAAGTGGGCACAGGACTCGTTTGCAGCCTCGATGACCTGGACACAGGAGGTGCAATTAAGAGCCGGTTCTCATGGTGTCTAATCGCGTCCAAGAAGGCTGCGCGCTGGAATGGGGACAGACAAGAGTGGAACTGGGCTCCTTGCCATACAGCCGATTTCCTTCAGTTTCTTAAAGTGTGGCCGCGTGCAGTGATGCCCAGGTGTCCCCTGCAAACATTCTGTCCTCAACAGATGATCTGAAGGTATCTGGCGGCACGGTGCGTAGCCCAGTTCGTCTGATTTGTTGATGTGACGTTTAGCACAGTCGGCCTCCAGGTCCTGCCACCCCAACGACCAGGCAGCCAAAAGGCTTCTCTGGGTGACAGTTCTCTGGCCGTCATGGCTGTCTTGCTTGCAGCTCTGCAGGTGGTCACGCTGCAGAGCTGCCGTTTGATCTCTGATGTGTTGCTCAGGTGAGGGCAGAGGGCACTTAAGGTGGAGTCCGAGCTTTGTGCCTCGGTCAGGAGAGGCTGTGCATATCTCTCAAGCCGCCAAGTGGCTCAGATTGCTGACCGCTGCTTTCACAGCCCGGACCTTGGCATACTGCAGCCAAGCATCCCTGCTGTGAATCAAAGTGGTTCGCTGCTTGAAAAAAGGAGATGGCATATGTGCCGCTCTCCTGGAAGCCCTGTTGGTGGAGGGTCAGGCCCGGCATCGTGGAAAACTGGCAGGTGATCAAGGATGTGCGTCACACTCGACAGGAGGTGCCTTCATGCGGCATTTCGCGAGAGTACTGCGAGGAGCATGGCACTGCCCTTAACATGTTGTAGATGATGCACGAGGCGGGTGGATGATCCTGGTGTGGAGTCACTCTAAGCCGCCGAGGACGAGGATATGTGGACGTCAACACATCCATATTGATGGAGTTGGAGAAGCAGATCTTTGAATGTGCGAAACCGAGACGTTGTTTCTGTCGGCACCTGGTAGCAACACCGGTTCCAGACTTCGCAAGCGGCTGTGGCAGTGACCGAACAAGATCTCACGGCAGCAAACCGGATCCTCGCAGGTGAAGGCAGCCTGAACCTTTGGGAAACTGCCTTTGTGACCGCGGGCGGGGCCTCTCTGCAAACTCTGCCCTCAGTCTCAGCACTCGTCGAGAAGGTCTCTGCATCCGCCTCCCTGCAAAAGCTCAGGGAGATGACGGACCCGTTTCCGGAGTGCAACAAGCTGCTATGTCTCCGCTACGTCCGCTTGCGGCTCTGTGCCGTTGAGTCCGATAGGCCGAGAGGCAATTATCAGTTGAGCTTCTGCAGTCCTTTGCTGAGGTGCCGGAGACGGGGAACGGCTTCAAATCACTCTGAAGGTTGGCATGGACGGCCAAGTCAGCGCGGACCAGGCCGAGCTTCGTAAATCTCAATTCCTGTGCATGGCAGGAAAATTCAATGTCTTCTGCTGTGTGGCAGGTCCTCATGGACTCATCTTCTTACGAGTCGCTGGCGCTGAGCAAGAAGGAGTTTCAGCCTCGTTGTGCCTGATGCACTGCTTCCATGCACTCATCACACTTGCAAGCAGCTGCAAGCACATGTGCTCCAGGTTTATCTCTTGCATCCAAGCTTCGCCCTTGCTGAGCGAGCCTTTGCGATGCTCAGCGCTTCATGTCCGGACCTGAGTCGCATCAGGACACATCTCGGCTGCGTCGCTGCGTGCTACTCACGATTCTTGCTGTGCATAGCTTCCGAGGCCCCTGCGACTGCCACCGAAGCTCAAGGCTGAGCCTGTCGGACCACTGCAGCTGACGGGACGCAGAAGACTTCCAGACAGGAGCTGATCTTGTCCAAGACGGCTTTCGAAGGACAAGGCCTGCAAGCGACCAAAAAAGGGGACCCTGCGAGTTTGGCTTGATCGCAGAACGACGGTCAAACCTGGTTTGAGATATATTGAGGTTATGTGGGGAGGAGGGGAATTGCAGAATGGGGCGTTTAGTACTGGGATTCTACTGGAGTACCAGTAGCTGTTGACTTTATGTTCGCCACAGAAGAAGCAGCTGCGAGCACCTTAAAGCCTTGAGGAGTCCGCTGATGGGTTCCATCGTGGGACTGCTGGGAAGCGTAGGCTCGCTGGACTTGGCCGCGATGTTTCGCGTGTCCGGATTTCTGAAAAACATGCAGCGATACTTTGCTCCTGTGTGACCGGCACTGTCCTGTCTCAAGCTTGCTTTCCTCTGACTGAAGCAGCTGTCCTGCGAGGAAAGGCAGACGCTTTGGCTCTCGATGTTCTCGTGGCGCAGAGCTTAGCGGAGACGATCAGCAGAGATGCAGCGATCGATCACCAAGACACGTCGCCAAAATTGACCGTAGAACGTGGTTCACGCTTGCTGGCTTAGTTACATGTGCAGACTTAGGCAGACAACACATCTTCGGGCAGTCCTTCTGCGAAGAACAGAGGATTGTGCGCCTGCTGAGTTTGAAATCTCACTCACAAGATCAGAGTCGAATTTCTCACAGTTTCGCGTTTGAGGCCCCTGCTGTTTGGAGATCTTCTGAACCAAGCAGGCCTGGGAACAACACGGTCTACGGAGAAGCGTTGCCTAGGGCTGGCACAGGAGCCACAAAGACACCAAGATTGGCCCGCGGCTCTGGAGCTTGGTGCGAAACGTGGAAGAGCTTGCGGGCACGAGCAGAGGCACTTGAAACGGCCATGGATGGCGGAGGCCATGGCGTGAAGGTGCCTGGGCTGCGTCATAGATGCTGAAGGGTGTTCCAGGTCAGGGCATGTCGTCAGCAGGTGTTTTTGAACGACACGTTTCGAGACTTCCTGGCGAAAGTCCAAGAGGCTTGCTCCAAGCCGGCTCCTCGAATCTCTTGAGGTGATGTCGCACTGCACATCTGGAGTGTTCTCGATACGAGGCTCGGGAGAACCCTTTCAAGCCAGCGGGTGGTGCAGGCAGGCTCAGCGGAGGTAGAAAGCGTTCGCAGTAGAGCCTCTGCGCTTCGGCTGTGTCAGGTGCTGGAATCGGCCAAGAGATACAAGAGTGTTAGCATAGGCGTCGAGTAGATTTGGCTGAAGTGTCCCATACTTGTGAAAAACCCGGGAATGCTGCCAGGCCCGGAGCATCAGGTCTTCGCGTTTCTGCCCCCGGTGAACCACGACCCGAAGGACGGCGAAAATGTGACAACGGGTGGCAAAGTGTACGTGTTCGGTACAGAAAGCATCGCTCCACCGATGCGGCTCCGAATCACATCTTTTTGCAGGATGGTCTGGGAGCTCTAATGGGTGCCCTTGCCGACCACGCCAGCTGGTTTCCATTGGACAAGGACGGATCAAGCGGGCAAATGCAGCGGCCTCCAATCCAAGCTTGCCCGAGCGGGCGCAAGCTGCCGGCTTGCAAACAGGACCTGACTTTTCTCGACTATGTCACAGCTTTCTCCCGTTACAAATCCATGCCGCCGTGCCTCGGCAGCACGATTGATGTGACTGTCGCAGAAGAAAGTCCTTTCCAGTGTGTTTGGAGTGTTGGGTTTTGGAGGGCTGAAGATCCTACATGCTGTTGAGCTTCGTGGCTGAGTCGAGGTTTCTCAGGGTGGTACGGCCGGAGCCCTTGGCAGCATCTCCATATAGATGACTCGGCTTCTGGTGCAAGGGCCGAGGAGATCAGCTCCGAGGGCGCAAACGAGCACAGCCGGCCGGTCACAGGTGATCTCAGATCTGACCAAAAAGACGCGTTCACGAGTCAGAGTCTTCCTTGCAGGCCCGTCTCGCTGGAGGCGAGGATCGCGGTGAGCCTGTGCAAAAGTGCATTTTGTCCCTCCGTGAGGCAAAGTTGGCGCTTGCACCAACACCAAGACCTCTCACAGGAGTGGAGGTGCCGAGTCCGTCTGCGCAGTCCGTTCTCTTGCAAGCTACTTGCAGGTAAGTGCTGGAGCCTACCGACACCTGGGGGCTTCGCAGAGAGGCGCCGCAAGTTCGATAGGCTGCCCAGGTCTGTCTCTGCCAGTCTGCGCTGTGCTCTGACAGCAAGGCTCTCGCCGAGCCTCTGAAAACGACTCATCACTGCTGGACGGGCTGTCGCTGGATCAGTGGATAAGAGCTCACCTGGGTCGCATTATTAGTGCTTGTCCGAGTGATGGTCACGCGCTGCAGTGTTGGCTTTGCATTTGCAGATGCTTCTGCAGTTCGGTCCTTCCACAGGACGGCAGAAGATCTGCTGACGGCAGACTGAGACTTGCTTATGTCTGCAGTGTGTAGATCATGATTACACATTGGCAATTTTGCCAGAGCCGGAGCAGAGCATGTGCGAGGATGTGGTCCCTGCAGCAACGTTCATGCTACTGACGTCTACACATGTAGCAGACCTGTACAAAGTTGGATTCGGGTCGAAACTGACCAGATCGCGTTGATCGTGAAAGATGGCATTGGGGCACGTCTGTTGGAATGTAGGGCATCGACACTGGTTAAATAATGCTGAGCAGGAGTTGAAGCTGCCATGTGAATCACTTCGATCTCGCATCATCTCGCAGTTTTTCTGCTGTCAGTGAAAACGTATGAGAAACATGCCTACACTGAATTGCCATTGCGTCTCCGGCACCGGAGTCGGACTATCATCGCCCGAGTTTCAACGAAGCTTCTGCACGGGCTTGCGGTCGTGGTAGGCATTGCCTGGCTTTCCTCTGCGGTTCGACTGCATGGTGGAAATATCACTTGCATCAGCATGGTTTTTCCTTGCACTTCCGGCAGAAAGAAAGAGCAATAGCAGCATAGCATTTCTGCATTCCCGTCGCCCAGGGCACGCATGCCCGATGGTGATGCACTGCACAGTGCCCAGGCCCTGTACATGAATATTCAGAGGTGTCTGACCATGAACGTCGTCCATTGCCAGACGCCGCTGAATATTCATGTACGGGGCCTGAGCACTGTTGAACGTGGATGACCAGCCCGAAGCCTACTGCAGTCAACAGTACAGTACCACACGAATGCCTCCCGAGCTCAACACTGGTGCTCCTCTGTTAGCGCCGCCGAGCTGCTCCGGATGACACCTAGACCGTGCAGCTGCCGCTCATGACAGAGGCCACCGAGTCGTGAGGGTTCCGGAAGCGCGGCTCTGCAAGGACGGGCCTGAACCGTCCTGCAGGCCATCGGTTTCCTCTTCAAACGACGAATCTCGTTGAAGAGGAAACCCATGGCCTGCAGGACGGTTCCTGCCGCAGCGGCTGGGCTGCAGATATCATTGAGGAGTGAAGCAGCAAAAGCCTTTCAGTACGGCTCCATGCTGTGCTGCACAACCTGCGGAGGCATGCACAAGATTCAAGACGAACAACGCGGAGCCTTGGAGCAGTCTCTCCGTCTGCCCGCAGGCAAGATGGGAAAGCAGAGAAGCATCATATTCCCGTTGCCCAACTTGCGATGCAGCGGTTGCAGCTGACATGCACACGTTCAGGCAGACGATCTGAGCGCGTGGCCTTGTGAATCCGGTTCCGTCATCATTCCAACTCGATACCTCGCGTGTGGCTATCAGGTTCCGTGCCTGAGGGAGGAGCGAGGAGGATTCGACAGATGTTGACTAATTGACCCGAGCCGTGAGTGTGCGACGCCCAAAAACTGGAGTGCACAGCTCATGGCCATCAGGAGCGATCACTGGACAGGAGTGATCATGTGCTCGCAGATGCTTGCAGCAGCATATTCCTACAGAGGGGCAAACAGCAGAGTGACTGGAGATCACGTGAGACTTTGCAATTTCCTCAACATGGGTGCTCAAGTCGTGACTTCAAACTCACCTCACGTTTGTGCCGCATGCATCTATGGAAAGCATGCGTATGTTGCAACATACGCACTCGCGCATGACTTCATCGTGGTTTTAGGTGACAGGAGTAGGAGGGGCAGCGTGCTTGCTGGCTCGCTGGTTTTCAGCTGCCATGGCATGGCTGTCCGCGGCGACCTAGCTGAATGCGTCGGTTGCAGAACGAGCGAATCATGTGCTGTGTCCGCTTCAAAGGTGGCATGGTCCTTCTGGGAGGCGCCTCGTGATCCATATCTGGCATGCCCCTCGTGCTCATTTTGCACCTGATCTGCCGGTGCCGTCCTGCCATCAGGCAAAGGAACCCCAGAATGCCGGGGACTTGGGGTCGAGGGTGGGTCTCATTCACGCGGCCGCGCATCCCACAGGTTTTTCCGCTGAATCGGGCGGAACTTGCCCCGGTGCTGCACCCTCAGCCCGATCTGTGGCAGCAGAGCCGAAAGCACCTCACAGTGGTCCGGGCCGAGGTTGGAATGCGTAAAAGCAGGCCTGACCAAGGGGACCAAAATGTTTCCGGGTCTGCCAACACAGGCTGACGTGGAGTGCTCAGGAATGCTCGCCAGTTGTTGCTTCCGCCGACTCAAAGCTTGTCGCACTCTCGCTGACTAGGCCCTGGTGGAGTACATCCACCAG